CCCCCTCCTCCTCCCTCCTCCTCCTCCTCCTCCGCCTCCTCCTCCTCCTCCTCCTCTCCTCCTCCTCCTCCCTCCTCCTCCTCCTCCTCCTCCTCCTCCTCCTCCTCCTCCTCCTCCTCCTCCTCCTCCTCCTCCTCCTCCTCCTCCTCCTCCTCCTCCTCCTCCTCCTCCTCCTCCTCCTCCCCCTCCTGCCTTGGCCAGGCAGGCATGTACACCGCCCCTGGGCCCAGGATGGGCCAGGCCTGGGGCAGCGGACCCGTGCAGATCTGCCTCGCCGCCCTCCGAGAGCGCCGCACGCTCGGGCGCACGCGGCCCCCCCGCGCGCACCCGGCAGAAGCCTCCGGGGTCGGCCCGGTGCGCCTCGGCTGCCCGCTCGTCGGGAGCGGCGTGCCTCTCGACGGCGCCGCCGGTGGGTGCGCGGTGCCGCGCGGGGGCATGCGCGCGGCCCGCGCTGCCGGCCACGGAGAGTCAGGCGATCGCGAGCATGGATCAATGGGCGATGGGCGCGTGGATTAGCGACGGGCCCCGCTTCCATGGGAGATCGCGGGTCTCCGCCGCCGAGCGAGGCGGCACGAGCCGCATCTGGGGGAGGGCACCTCCCCAGATCCATGGATGTGGCGAGCGCGTGCCAGATCCATGGATCGCTAGTCCATGTTTGCGCGCCCCCGAGAGAAGACGCCCGCGCCGCTGCTCACGGGGCCGCGTGCCTCTCAAGCAGGTGCGAAGCGTCCTGGTTCGCCTATAGGCCCGCGAAAGAAGATTCTAAGGACCCCTGTTTGGTTTGCACGGAGCGTTCTCAGAACATTTTTCTGGCCGGGACTGTCCAGTTTTAACACATCGGGCTCATGTCATAAGAGAATTGCTTTGTTCTTAGATCGGGCCGGACGAAAGGGAGGGACTAGCTGGTTTCGGCCTCACCGAGGGGCCCACTCCTCGATACACAGCCGCCTCCGGCGCCGGGAGGCGCCGGGAAAATCAGCTACGTGAGCCGATTCTCAAACCCTCCCTTTCAGAGCCCCGAATCATCAGGGGTAACTCGGGTCAGGGCTATCTCGGGTTCGTTTTTCGGGAATCCGAACCCGAGTTATCCCAGACCCGAGTTACCCCGGATATTTCGGGCGTCCAGAGCCCCGAATCATCAGGGGTAACTCGGGTCAGGGCTAACTCGGGTCCGTTTTTCGGGAACCCAAACCCGAGTTACCCCGGACCCGAGTTATCCCGGATAATTCGGGCGTCCAATCCCTTTGCTGCCCCACCCTTTCGCCCGACCCGATGAGAGCATGCGGGGGGTCTCTAAGAACATCCCGTGGTGGGCCTACAAGAATGCCGGGGCGGCCGGTCCCCGCTCCAGCCTCGGGCCTCGGGCCGCCGCCGCGGGCCTCTAGGCATCCCCGCCCGCTCTTCGGCGGCGAGCGAGGGGGGGAGAGCGCGAAGGGGCGGGCAGTGGCGAAGCGTCCTGGCTCGCCTATGGCCCTACCAAACCATGCTCTAAGAACCTTTTGTGGTTTCCACGAAGTGCTCTTAGAACATGTCTGGTTGAGATCGTCTTGTTTTAACACATCGGGCATAAGTTCAAGTACAGTGTTTTTGTCATTAGAACATGTTTGGGTTCTAAGAACATGTCGTGGTATGACTATAGGAATGCCGGGACGGTCGGTCCCTGCTCAAGAAGGGGCGGGTCTTCTCAGAAGTCTCGGCAGCCCCCCGGCCTCCTGAGAAGTGTTCGAGGCCTTCCCCGAAGACAGGCAAGGGCCTCTCAGAAGGCGCCCGCCGCTTTCTGAGAGGGTCTTCTCCTTCTCACCTCCCCTCCCTCCCTCGCTCGTCGTCAAGGTCTGGGTTCGGGTCGACGAGCCCGTAGCCGCTGCCTCCCTCTCCCGGCATGTGCTGGTCCTTGCTTCACTGGACCGCTTCCTCCCGCTCCTCCCCCTCCCCTCCCCTCGCCTCCCTCTCTCCACAACCACCCAGCACTACACACCATGGATACTATTCTCCCCTCCCCCCTCGCTCCATTTGGAAGATCTTCGGCCCTCCCCGCGTATTCAGGGGTCCCGATCTTTTCTGCTGCTCCTGCTGCAAGACGGTGCTGCTGCTGCAGAGTGGGCCTCCTGTTCGACTCGGCGCGTTGCTCGCGTCGTTCGGCGTGGCGGTCTCGCTCCAGCGCGGGCCGGTTCTCTGGATCCGAATCCTTGCTCACTGTTAGTCGCCCCCCTCCTTTCTCCTCCTCCGCCTTCCCCTGACCCTCCTGTTCCTCCCTCTCCTTCCTGGCCTGTTGAAGCGCCCTTGGCTTCGACACGTTCCCGGCAGCAGCTCATTGCAGCTCTTTCGCGGCTATCCGATCCGATCCGAACCCGCTCCTTCCGCTCCAATCCCTAGGCTTGCTCTGGATGGATTCAAGAAGAGAGCGATCTCTTCGCTGTGTGGCCTTGTCTCTCGAGATATCGAGGCGCGCGTAGCCCTTTGCTCGTGCTGGTCGACCGCGCCGGGCGGTCGCGGGGCCGGCCCTGACTTGGCCGAGCTCCGCCCCCGTCCCGCGGCACGGACTCTCTGCAGCCCGATGGCGCTCGCTGGGCGCGCTGGGGCGCGGCGGGACGAGGGAGAGGGTCCACCATCAGTAGGCAAGGCCTCGAGGCACCCGACGTCCGTCGACGCTCCCAGGGATTCGGGCGAGTGGGAGGTGGTGCCCGAGGCCGAGCTCGAGACGATCGGAATGGGTACGGACTAATGGGTACAAAGACCAACATCATTTCCTGTTCGTTTTGAACAGGATTCGCTGCCCGTGTCTCCGCGGACGTTGTCCACTCGAGACAGTCGCCCGCCTGCCCAACAGCGGCCGCGGTCGGTTTTGGACAACATGTGTTGCTGGGCAGCGTGCCCATTTATGTCCGTACCCCTGTCGGGCGTCCAAACGAGCAGCCGGCCGTGTGTCGCCGCGGACGCTTTCCATTCGAGACAGTCGGCCGCCTGCTCAACAGCGGCCACGGCCAGTTTTGGACAAGAGTTTCGGGTGTTGCTAGAAGTGCCCCTGGCCCAAGGTGCCCCCAGGATTCTCGGGGTGGCCCAGACGGCCTCCAGAGCACCCCTCACGAGGCCCAGAGGGCCCTAGGGGGCTCCGGAGTGGAGCGAAAAGCTGGGGTCACCTTGGGCCAGGGGCACCTCTAGCAACTCCCGATCCCCCCCTTCCTCCTCCTCCTCCTCCTCCTCCTCCTCCTCCTCCTCCTCCTCCTCCTCCTCCTCCTCCTCCTTCCTCCGCCTCCTCCTCCCTCCTCCTCCTCCTCCCCTTGCCTCCTCCTCCTCCCCCTTTCCTCCCTCCTCCTCCCCCCCCTCCTCCTCCTCCTCCTCCTCCTCCTCCTCCTCCTCCTCCTCCTCCTCTCCTCTTCCTCCTCCACCTCCACCTCCACTTCCTCCTCCTCCTCCTCCCTCCTCCTCCTCCTCCTCCTCCTCCTCCTCCTCCTCCTCCTCCTGCCGGCAACACTCGGCATCCGTTGCTGGGCAGCGTGCCCACGTTGGTCCGTCCGGCCGCTCCCGGTGGGTGTGCCAGCCTGCGGCCGCGGGTCCGGAAGGCGGCCCCTGGCCCCCGACGGGGCGCACCTCGGGTGATGCTCCCGCGTGACGTTTTGTGTTTGTTATTGTTATTATGTTGTATGTGTTTGTTTTTTTGTTTTGTTTTTATTTTTTTTGGTTCGTTGTTTTTTTTGTTTCTTTTGTTCCTTCCCAATGAGAGCTTGCACTGAGGGGCCCTCGCGGAAGTTAAAGGATTTGGCCAAAGTTTCCCGCCGATTTTCGTCGCACGCTGGGTCCCTGGGTTCCCGGTTTCCGGGTTCCCGGTTCCGGGTTCCGGACCGAGGGCGGCGAGGTTCCCGGGTTCCCGGGTTCTTGGTCGATATTCTCATCGATCGGTCTCACCATGGATCTCATTATTTCTCTATCGATCTCACCATCGATCTCACCATCGATCTCACAATCGATCTCGCAAGCGATCTCACTAGAGAAAGCATGAGCGATCTCGCGATCGATCTCACTATCGATCGCATTGAATCGATTTCACTCTCGGTCTCACGATCGACCTTACAATCATCCTCACAATCGATTCCACGGTCGATCTCATGATCGATCTCACAATCGATCTCAATATTCATAGTTTGAATTTTCAATTCATCCACTGATTAGGGTTTTGCTCAGGTGTATGTGTGTGCGTGTTTTTGTGATGTTTCTCCCTAGTCAGAGCTTGCACTGAGGGAGTCCTAGGATAATTTGAAAGACTTGGCGAAAGCTTCCCGCCGATTTTGGTGGCCGGCTGGGTTCCCGGGTTCCTTGTTTTGGGTTCCTGGGTTCTCGGTCATTGGTTCCGATCCGATTTCGGTGGGTTCTGGGTTCCCAGGTTCCCTGGTTTCCGGTCGATATCCTTATCGATCTTGTGATCGATCCCATTTCAAATCCACTGATTGGGGTTTTCTCTGATGTAATGTTTTTCTCTCCCCCTTTTTCTGTGTTCCACAGCGCAGCAATCAGCCAAGGACAGGTTGTGTGCCTGATGTGATCCAAGAAGTGTGCTGTTCCATCAGACCAGCCCCCAGCGCGAGGAGTCCCCAGCTCCCGCGTGACGCTGGACGGGCACGCGCTGGACACGTACGGCGTCGTGGAGGAGAGCGAGGTAGTCGTTACCAGGACGGTCCGCGGTGGATTGGAGTGCGGGGTGGACCTGCTCTCGGTCGGGCGATTAGAACTAAGCACATGCACCGATCCTGGCAAGGCCCATCCTTGACCCAGGATCGGTGCATATATCTTCCTGGCCAAGGTCGGACGGCGTATGCACCGACCCTGGGCTCAGGATGGACCTGGCCAGAATCGGTGTATGTGCATACTTCTCTTTCCTCTATTCGGGCGTCTTCGAGGCCGGCGCGGCGCCGGTGCTGGTGCTTGGGGCAGCCGCTGGCCCGCCTGCAGTTCGGGGCGCCGAGGAGACGCCAGCCTGCCCTTTGCGAGAGCCTGTCGTCCTCGAGGCCCGTCGGTGGCGTGAAAAAAGGCAGCGGTATCAAGTACAACACGTTCGACAAGGTCGTCAACCACCACCGTGCGGAGCCCACAGACGACTCCACGGACTCTTCCAGCATGTCAGGAACCACGGCAGCACCTTCCACGCCAGACAGGTCCGATGGGCCCTCGGGCAGCGCATCGCGCCCGAGTCGACGTTTTTCCTGATGGAAGGCCTGGTGGGTGTGGTGTTGGGCTTGTCGGTGAGCTATAGCCAGTGCGAGGGAGCGAACTCGGCCATCGAGGAGGTGCTGGCGTACCTGTATCAGATCTGCGAGCAGACCATCGGAACGCTGCAGCTGGATGGCCTGGCCCGCTACCTGAGCTGCGACCGCGCAAGCGGTCTGCCAGGGGGGTGCGGCTCTCAACTCGGCGCCTGGGCAGTACGCCGCGGAAAAGGAGAGTCACGAAATGGAGGTGGAGAAGCAGCGGGAGAAGGCCTGTGAGGAGACCGATGCTGCTAGGCATTCCGAGGGCGACAAGAGAGGACACGAGGCCCCCGGCCGCGTCGCGCACCAACGCGGGCCAATTCGTCGTCGACGTGCTCCTGTCGCTGGCGAAGGGGCGGCTTGCTTCCACTGGCTGCTCCATGGCGTGCGGGCGACGACGTTGGCTGCAAGTGGCTGTCACGAGGCACGGAGCAACGTGTCCGACGGCGGTGCAGAGTCCAGGACACGCCGGCCGGGACGGTTCGAGCTATGCATCGGATGGCAGGTTCTGATACTCCCGACGTGGAGTCCGCCGCCAAGTTGAGGGGGCCTTTCCGCCAAGGCCTACAGGGACGAACTGGCCTTGCGCACGGCCCGCGCCAAAGAGCCAGCTAGCTTTTTTCTCCGCAGGAAGCCTTCAATGAGCTCCTCGGCAGCACGCCCGCCTTGTACTTCAATGGCAAGGAGATCTCCCCAGCTCGGCCTTCCTCGCGCGAGTCGGTCAGTTGGCCTAACAGGGGCTGGCGCCTTGCGCCGCTGCCCGCCAGCGCGCCGCCAGAGATGTTCGGGCACTTGTCCGAGGGCCAGCGAGACGCGTGGCTGCGGCAGTATCATGAGGTTCAGCAGGTGAGGCATGCCGAGGATCGGCCTTCCTTGCGCGGCGGCAGCGTTCTCAAGCAGGACAGGGGTGCCTGCGTCGGTTTCGTCAAGGACGGCCCCATACACGGGCGTCTTCCGCCTTGGGCGCCGCCGCAAGGAGGCGCCAAGGTGATCTTCGCTCGGAAGAAGGACGGCCAGATCGGCATGGTCCATGGTCATGGATTTCCAGTCGAAGCAACCAACTCTTACGAGAGGCTCTAAAGGCCCATCTTTGCTCGGGCAGCAGCTTTGGCGAGGTGGAGGCGCCGCCCAGGACCCAATCGCGGTGCGCTGGCGGTGATGCGCAGAACGTCCGATAGCAGCACCAACAGCCTCGTCTGGCCCAGGCCTCACTTTGGCCTCGATCGGCAGGGCCAGCCCGGCCGCGTGAGGATCTCCGAGAAGCCCTACTTGGCGGCCGCGGCCGGCGCCGCCGCTGGCCCCCCCCTGACCAGTCGGCAGCTCGAGCGTTGGTCCTTTCGCGTTTTTAGATTTCGCCAGGAGGGAGCTGCTCGGCACTCTTTGTGCATGCCGTGATTTTGCGAGGGGGGATTTCAGGAAGGCGAGAGGCCGCTGGACAACTACTTTCTCGGAGCTCCGCTCGATCCCCGGCCTCCAGATTTCTGCTTCTCGGGATCTGGGCCCCGGGTGGTCTGGGGCTGTTCGCGCGCGCCGCGCGCGCGAGTCCGGGCGCCCTTCGGCGAGGGGGGCCGGGGCGGTGGGGGCAGCGCAGAAAGTGAGATCATCGCGCGACAGATGGATGCGCGCAAGGAATGAGGACCCCGCGGGGCTCAATCGGCGTGAACATGTCCTGGGGGGCAGATGCTGAGGCGGAGGTCGATAATGCCAGTGTCTACATTCATCGTGAGCTCCTTTCGGTGCCCGCTACGTTGGCCCAGCGCGCGTCGTGGTCGGCGGGGCGCTGTCTGCCCGCGTTTATCCGCGACCGTAAACACGTCGCTGAAAAAGCGAGGCCCGCTGGGGTCCATTCGCCAGATCTCGGCGGGGGCGAGCGAGAGTTGGCTGATATTGGGGGGGCGCCTAGGGTTTTGTGTTATCGTAGTTTAGGGGGCGCCGTCGTGGTCCTTGTTTTCTTGCGGCGCGTCGGATGGCGCCCGATTCGGCTCTAGCTGCCAGATCGAGTTTCCTGAGCTGGCGGCCGCCGTCGGAACTCAATCATGCCGGCGGGCCCCTCCGCAAGCGAGAGACGCCAGTGGGGGGCTTCTCTGGGCGCGATGCCACGGAGGATATCGCCGCCAGCCCCTCAGTTCTCCCGAGGTCCAGCGAGCCACTTGCGGCCGAACGGGGAAAGACGGGGCCCGAGCGTGGAGCGATTGACTCGTGCGACTCAGCCCCCCTCAGACCAGTCAGCGCCGGGTCTGCTGGGGGCGGCGCGCCGCCCCCAAGAAGGGGCTGAACCTTCTGGCCCGCCGAGGCGGGCTGCCTGCAGCGAGCTGGGTGGCATGGCCAGGGGGCTCGGCGTCGCCCCCGTGCCTTCCCGACGCCGAAGACGAGAGGGCGGCGCGGGGGGCTGCTCGGCGACTCCAACAATCGGCAGAAGGCGAACGGCCTCAGCGCCCGCGCAGCGAAGCTGGACGCGCAGATCAGCGCGCTTTCCGACTGGCTCCTCCTGGCTGCCATCCAGCACGTGGCGCCGGTGCGCAGCGTCGCGGGCCCGACGGCGCTCTTGCGGAAGTTCCGGGGGCGGGGGGGGCCGGAGGCGCCTCGCGCTTTGTCGCGCTCGGCGCCCGGTGCTTTTTGGAGGTTACGCGGGGCGTCGCGGTCGGGTTGCTTCGAGTTGGGGACAGGGGCCTTGACGTCATCGGGATCTGGCCCGCCGACGCACGACGCGACGCGCGCCGCGAGTCGTCGGCGAGGAGGGCCCTGGCGGGGCCCCAAGTTGAAGAGCCCGCGTTCCATCCTCCTGACCGCTTCCACCCATCGCGGTGGGCATTTTCACCCCCGCGGCAATCTCCTACACGGGGCGCCATTCGGACGCCGAGCTGGACAGGCTGACTGTCCGCCTCGACCGCGTCGAGGCTCAGCCCCATGGAAAATCGGATCGGCTGCCCCGGTGAGGCGGCGCGCGAAGGTGCCCGGGTCCACAGCAACATCGACAGTAGGGCCAGCGCTATCTGCGACGGAGGTGCCTGCGAGCTCGCGGTCTCCGCGGCGCGCGAATGCCCCCGCTGGCGCGCCGGCCGAGTGGCGCCGCGCGCAGAGACTTCTTTGTGATCGAGGTTTTCAGCGGATGCTCGGCTTATCTCGCAGCGGCTCGTCGTTGCGGAGTTGATACTTTCTCTTTTGACATGTTGCAGGAGCTGCAGAGCGACGCGCTACGCCGACCCGTCAAGCGTCGCTTCAGTCGTGTCATTGCACGCTCCCGTTCTCTGTTTCGTTTGCTGGCTTCGCCCCGCGCCGCGCGCAGCAGCGCGCGTCGGCCCGCGGCCCGCGGCCAGCAATTCATGGGGGGCCTTCCGATTCGAAGAAGCCCTTAGAGAGCGCGTCGACAAAGGCGCGCATCTGATGCGACTCACCAGTGATCAATAGCTGCGGGCAAACATGCGCAACGCTCCCTGGTTGATTTGGCGCGCCGACAGGTTGCAGATTCTTTGCCCCCCCCAGATGACCTCCGCCTGATATGGGCGGTGCTGGGCCCGCTGTTAAAATCGCCATGGTCTTGTGGCCTGGAAGACTCGCAGCGCATGGAATCCAGATGCCATGGCGTCGGCCGTGCTCCATGCGAGCCCTCGAGCTAGCTTCGCACTGCTCTGTCTGGTCATGGCCCCGCGGGAGTGCGCTGGACCAGACGTGCGCCGATGATTGATGCTGGATTCAGCTGCGCGCTAAACAGCGCCAGCTCCTCGCATATCCAAGCAGCGCCATGAATGACATCGGAATCGAAGCGGGAGCGCCTTTGAGACGCCAGCGTGTTTTGCGAAATTTGGTGGTTGTTCAGCAGGCTTCTCCTCGGCGCGGCCCCGCGCTCGCTGGCCCTCGCCTCGCCTTCGCTACGTTGGGTCTCCAGCAGAAAATGGTACAGGAACGTTGGGCGGCATGATTGATGGGCTTGCTGCGCATGGGTTCCGAGACGAGAGTGCAATGTGCGTTTTGTATGTAATTTTCGCACCGTCCACAGACCTCACCGCCGCCCATTGTGTAATTCCCAACCATCCTGTGTTGGGCACTCGTTTTGAACAGAACAGTATGGTCTCCACCTCCTCCTCCTTTTCTGCTCTCCTCCTCCTCTCCTTCATCTCCTCCTTCTCACCTGTTTCCTGTGTTCCCTTCTCCTCTTCTCTCGTGCCGTCCGGTTCCTGGTTCCTGCCTCGCCGTCTTGTCTGTTGGGTGGGCGCGCCTACCACCTCGGGACCTCGCCGCCCCCCAGGGGGGTGCGATCTGCGAAGCTGTCGGCACTTTCGTGGGCTCCTGGGAGGCCCAGCGGAGGTACGTCATACGCGGACCACCTCGAGACCTCGCCGCCCCGTGGGGGCTGGCGATCTGCGAAATTGTCTGCAAGTTCGTGGGCTCATGGAAGGCCCAGCGGAGGCACGTCATACGCGGACCACCTCGAGACCTCGCCGCCCCGTGGGGGCTTGCGATCTGCGAAACTGTAGGCACCTTCGTGAGCTCCTAGGGGGCCCAGCGGAGGTACGTCATACGCGGACCACCTCGAGACCTCGCCGCCTCCTTGGGGGGCTTGCGATGTGCGCAATTGTCGGCACTTTTGTGGGCTCTTCGGAGGCCCAGCTGAGGTACGTCATACGCGGACCACCTCGAGACCTCGCCGCCCCCTGAGAAGCTCGCGGTCTGCGAAAATGTCGGCATTTTCGTGGGCTCTTGGGAGGCCCAGTGGAGGTACGTCATAATCAGAACACCTCGGGACCTCGCCGCCCCCTGGGGGGCTGTCGATCTTCGACGTTGTCGGCACTTTCGTGGGCTCCTGGGAGGCCCAGCGGAGGCACGTCATACGCGGACCACCTCGGGACCTCGCCGCCCCCTGGGGGGCTTGCGGTCTGCGCAGTTGTCGGCACTTTTGTGGGCTCTTGGGAGGCCCAGTGGAGGTACGTCATAATCAGAGCACCTCGAGACCTCGCCGCCCCCTGGGGGGCTTGCGATCTGCGCAGTTGTCGGCACTTTTGTGGGCTCTTGGGAGGCCCAGTGGAGGTACGTCATAATCAGAGCACCTCGGGACCTCGCCGCCCCCTGGGGGGCTTGCGATCTGCGAAATTGTCGGCACTTTCGTGGGTTCCTGGGAGGCCCAGCGGAGGTACG